ATCTATTACTCATTTAACGGATGTTCATCAGCAACATGACATAAGGTTGGATGGACTCTACCTGAGTTGGGAATCCCACAGCTACAGAACAGTGTTGCCGATACTGTGCGTAATTCGGGTGGTGTGGTGCGTCTCAGGGCGCAAGGTTGCCAAAATAAGATATTTGATTTCAGAGTGAATTTCGGGCCCCATTGAGCGCCGGGGCCCTAGGCGGCCGCCTAGTTTGCCTAATGGTTAAACCAGCGCTGCGAATGGACCACCATTGCGTCTATGTTCGAGAGATTGCAATTAATTGGTGAGAGTTGGATTATCGATAATTTTTATTGCTCTTCTCTGTACTGGATCTGATAGAGCCAACGATTGCTTGGGAGCATCGCTCCAGATCTGGGACCAGTATTCCCTACACATGGTCTGATTTGAGCCCTATAAAGGAGAAGAAGTTGTTCAGAAGTAAAGAAGTGTTTTGCACGAAATAAAAAACCTAATTTTTGGGAAGCGGGTTCTGCGATCAAAGATCATTATGCCAAGACAACTTGTCACCCCAAGAAGGGGGAGGGGGATTGATAGCAAGGTTCTGTCTCGACATCTTGAAAACTGGGTTATCATCGGCGGAAGATTTCTCATTTGATAATGCTGTTGTTGCTTGAGTTTTGAAGTTAACTAGGTTTTCAAGGCTCCAGTTGGTAAAGGCGGGCGGTCACTGCGAGCGAAACGAAACTAAGCTAAGGGAAGATAAGTTTTCAGTATATAAGTTACCATACTCTTAAATATACCCTCGGCCATTTTAGCTAAACTAAGCGAAGATTTGTCAACGAAGATTAAAATCTTAGTTTCGTTTCGTTCGATTTAGCTCGTGTCAAATTCGAACGAAGTTTTTCGCTGCGAATTTATTATTTATTTACTTTCCATTGTGTTTGCACATAAAAAGTATGTTTCTACAGATGCTGACTTTGAATATAGAATAGATCCATTTTTGTTGCAACAGGACTCATTCTAACTTTTTTAATAAATTTATAGGTCTTTCCGCATGAAAACACAGCTGAGAACTAAACGAAAATCGTTCCCAGTGGCCGCTCAAACTTAGTTCAGTTTAGATACCGTTAGCTTCGTCTAGCACAGCTTAGTTTCGTTTCGCTCGCAGTGGCCGCCTACCTTAAGGTACCTGGGGCTAGGACTTTGTAACGAATAGAGATATTTTCTCTATCTCTATTGACGTCTCTTCTCTATTGATTTCGACAAGAGAGAAGAAGACAGCAAGTGACAGCAAAAAGGATAACGATCTCTATCTGTTACAGAGTTCCAGTCCTGGTACCTTTAAGCCGGGCGGCCACTGCGAGCGAAACGAAACTAAGCTAAGCGGAGATAAGTTTCCGGTAAATTAGTTACCATACTTTTAAATATATGTATATATACCCTCGGCGCGAGCCTCGGCCATATCAGCTAAACTAAGCGAAGATTTGTCAACGAAGATTAAAATCTCAGTTTCGTTTCGTTCGATTTAGCTCGTGTCAAATTCGAACGAAGTTTTAGTTTCGTTTCGCTCGCAGTGGCCGCCTACCTTAATGGTGTCAAGATCACTGATGTTGATAGTATTGATACAGTGAATCTGTTCTCGGGCGAGGCGTGTGGAAGTGGCTGCAGTGAGCAGTCTGTCGTCTGTCAGAAGAGAAAGATGCCATCAGGCGACTAATGTCCACAAGGGTATATATGGGGTTTATTGTCACGTTTAACAAATCATTTATAGAAAGGAGAATCGGTGTTGAGGACAGAATGGAGCCTTGGGGAAAGCCGGAATTTATGGGCAGTCTATCAGAAGACACACCATCAGCGACGTAGCTATACCTTTTTCATGGGGGGGTTTTAGAACAGTGGCGACTCGTGGTCTGGAAAGGGTTTTAATTTTAGATCAGACGATGTACCTGGCATATACGAACGCCACCTTTGAAAATAAGTTGAACTGGGGAAAAAAAAAACGTTCATTGAAAGAAAAATGAGAAACAAAAATCCTTCAAATCTGATAACAGATGCATTACACTTTACTATATATCTATATACACAAGTCCCCTCCGGCATCTCCGGATGTTGCTTGATGTTGGCTTAGTTTGGATTAGAGATCCAAGGATACTACACACTACACAGGATAGCCTAGCTTCATAAGGCCTGTGTAGATCAAATCTCAAGTCCCCACTGCACCACGCCAAAGTACCAGTTATGACGTAGGAATCGGGTCGATTCTCGTTTCGACTCAAAGTGTTTACACCACAGGCTATCATTCCCCTGGCTTTTGCTTTATGCATACTTGTGTTAGTACATTAATTAACATTCTAAAAGAACCCTTTTCAGATCTCGTCTGCATCTTCTTCGTTGCCTATTATGTTAATCTAAATTAAATAATATTTTTCATCATAAATGTATATTCTAAACTACGACCGCTGGCGCAAACAGTTAACGACACCGTTGATGATGTTACCAACAGTGCAACACCATATGACCTTGATTCCAAAAATCAAGGCCGCTGAGCAATCCTGTAGTAGTGTATATTATCCTTGAGGGAGACCGTAGGTAAGGACGACGCGTACGTTTCGGAGAATTTTTCCGGGAGAAACAGGATTGCGCTGTTGCTAACCCGGAGAACACACCTAGTCAATGGCTAAATTCGTGCGGAGGGCATTCCTAAAGAGTTTGTGATGTAGCTTTAGCCTTCCACAGTCCAGGGAATTACTCACTAAACTAGTTAGCCGCTCTATGAAAGGGTCCAAGTTTTTGGACTTGTCTGGGCTGGCCTTTCCTCTAGGTACTCGTGTTTCGTGAGTAGCTACTACACCTCAGGTAATACACGCTTGTACCTTTCAACCACGAATCCTGGAATCACCACAGCGGTGAGCATTTTTACAGGTGCAGGGATGTGGTCGACCTAGTACCGTATTCCCTTGTGTTAAATGGGCTCACTAGTTGAGTCCCCTTTCCTTTGACAAGGTCCGGGATCGGGGTTGCCCGCTATTAGTTTTCGGAAAACCCCAGTCATCCGTTACCCAGATATACTGGGATAGGATAGACATTAGGGATCATCGAACTTTCAGCCAGATCAACTGAAATCATTCGTAGAGTTGCCTTTTTCCTACGGAGAAGGACGCGTCGATACCGGTACTATCTTTCTGGAGAGAGGCTCACGAACTTTTTTCAGAATTCTGGAATCGTTCGAGCGTTTCTCGCTCCTTCCCATATCGTGAGATGGTGCACCAGCGAACCAGCCTGCATCGTAATGTGAGTAGGAACAGTGGGAATGCCGATAATCCAGTAAGCTGAAGGGTTAGCTTCCTTTTCAACATATTAATGTGGATATTCTGGTATCTCCTTCAATTGGATGTATTTTTGTTGCTTTCCCAATAGCTTTTTTAAAAGGTAAATTCCTCAGGAGTGGCGTAGTTGCTTTTGGAACCACTTATGAAGTTCTTAAACCTAATTGCAGGTTACCTATCTTTTAGATAGCTTTTTCAAAGCTGCTGGTATATGGAATTTTTTTCTCAAGCTATTGTGCAAATCGTTTTTCTGGAGTATCAGATAATCAGATGGATTAGTTACTTTTATAGCAGTTTGTTCTGAAACTAATGGTTTTGTTCTTGAAAATATCTGTTTTTTTTATTCGGTTCCCTGAAATTTGCTAAGACGTAGAGTCGTTTCCCCAACAGGTTTTGAAACTGCTGCTTCTTGAGTTAGTTTTTTAAATTCGTTCCTTAATAATAGCTAATGGGAAAGAAGCTTTTCAACAGATTCTTCTTATTGGTTTTTTCAACTTTTGTTCTACATACTATAGGCACAATATTTCTGGGAGTTGGGTTTTATTTCAACAGTTCCTATCGACGCTTCTGTAATAATAGTTGGTTTTCTGCTGAAACTGGATTTTGAAACCTTTGTTCTTTTATCTTGGTCCTTAGCTTCTTGGCATTGGTTCTAGTGGCTCCTTTTCTCTAATTGGTTTCTTTTTAAGCTGCTTCTGTTCCGGATTTTTTTTTTTGGGTCTGTCTAATAAATTAAATATGTGCTTTTTCAACAGCATCTTCTAAATCTTCTGGTAGGTAGGTATCCAGTATTGATGTTTTGTAGTTCTTTTTTTACTGGTTCTTCAAAAGTTGCTTATGGACTAAACAACTTCATTTGACGCTTCTGATTGGTGTTTTGAAGGTCTCAATTTATAATTGGATTCCTACCTTATAAATAAGTATGGAAACAGTTTTGTTTATTTTTAACTTGATTTAGGTATTTATTGTTGCCCTTATTTGTATTTTGTTACATGTTAAACTTTTTTTTTCTCTAATTTAATTTTTGACAGTTACCTACTTTTATAGTTTAGATTTGTCTAATAATATTATATCGGGTCTTCAAAAAAAAAAACAATGAAAGAATGCTTTGATTACGAAAATATCAGTAAATAAATTTTGGTTTCTGCGCACAAATTTTAGGTTTTGCGCAGAATCGTGACGGTTCGTTGTACGGTTTTCTGTTGTGTTGGAACAAAGCTAATACCGGCCATTAGACAATAATTACCCAAACAAATAATGCGGACATTGAATTTGTTGCGGAAAAAAATACCATCATTTTAAACTAAATATCGATATCAAATAAGTCCGTTAAAATGCTCAAAAAAGGGGCGTGGCACCAAAAAAAATATTTCGCCTTCGGCGGTTGCCAGCCGCGCTATTGCAACTGATCTTATTATAGTGCTGTCCCCCTCTGAGAAACCTCGTAACGACGCCCATGTTTATTGGTCAGAATTTTTGACATGACATTTTGACATTGAAGTCCATTGACAAAATTGAAGAAAAATATACGTTTAAAAACCCATAGCAATCTTTGCTTTTTTAAGACCCGATATGTAGGTATAGATAAGTTTTTTTCAATGAAAGGTTTTATGCACTTGATAATAAAGTCAGAATAAGAAGCTTTTTTACATATTAGCAAATTTTAAAATTTATATTTTTTTACAAGCAAGAACTTCTCACCTTGTAGTTAATCCAAATTGAATTGCACAAGTAATCACAGTATACCTCAAATGCGGTGGCTTACAAAGTGCTTTGGTTTGTTCCCAAATTTCTTGGAGCAATAATTTCAATTCTTTCGGCTTTCTGATTCGTAAACTTCTGATGCTTCTGGTGGATTGCTGAGAAATTACGCTCATAGTACGTACTTTTTCTCTTAGGCTTCTGACCTGAAGCACAAAACGTAGGTCATATTTGTATAAATTGTGAAAAATTGCAGGTACCTACAGGAAAATTAGCTCCATCGTCATTGTAATTACTAGAATACATGTCTCTTAAAACGTCGAGAGCGGCATCGGCTTCCCCACATTCCAAAAGAAATTTCGGACTTTCTGGGAAAAATATTAACCATAATCCTATGAAAATACTAGGTACAGAGCATGCGGCTACGAATAGATTCCAGCTGGCAAATTTGAAGTCTTCGTAGACGTATTCAAATTCCATGGGAATAATTATCCAGGCGATACCCGGCAGCACAATAACGCCCAAAGTCCAAAAAAGTTCCATCCAACACAAAATAGTTTCACGGTATTTGCCTGGTTGGAATTCGCCTAGGTATGGAAAGCAAATTCCCATAGCCCCAGTTATACTAAAAAAAATGAGGTTTTTTACACCTTAATATCAGAGTGGGCAGGTTTCTACTTACGCAAAGCCATTAAGAAATCGTAGAAACATAAAAAGCCAGTAAACTTGCGATATACTAGAAAGTAGACCGCAGATACCATCCATAATTAGGGCAGCAATGAGTACAGTTTTTCTGCCCTTTGTATCAGCCAGGCATCCCCAGAAATACGAGCCAATTACCATCCCTGTAACATAATAATAATAATTGTTAATTAGTGAAATGATACGTTTTTAAGTAAACTAAACCAGCAGAGCCATTCAGACTATTCTTCAGTATTTTGAGCAATAAATTCCTTCACCTTGGTTCTTATTTTTGACGCAACGTTTCTTTCTTTGATAATTTTCAAGAGAATGTAATTTTTTGTATAGCTACTAGCTTATATACGTACAGGGTGGCCCGTTTAAGAGGGGCCTATACCTTATCTCGAAATCTACGAAGGCTGTAAAAAAAACTTAAATACAAAAGTTGTTTCTAATAAAATTATCTACAACCTCTTCGTTTTTTTTTTGTTGTCACTCCACTATATACAGGGTGGACAAATAATTTTTTTTTTTTTTTAATGGAACACCCTATATTTTAATACATTTTTACATAGCCCTTTGAAAGACAAATTCAACGATATACTGGTCATTTGTGTGTGATATACCGTTTCGAACTTATTGGCGATTATCTTCAGGATTTGGGGTAATTTTCAATAGTCATTGTTACGTTACTCATAAACATTTTTTTCTGCATGATATTTTCGGGGATAATACCACGAGAGCTTCAAAATTACCGATAATTTTTCACGATTGCGTGTTTTCTATAATTTGCAGAGAAAACACGCATGAATGAAAAATTATCTGGTTCATTTTAAAGCTCAAGTGGTATTAAGAGGATTATTTCACGTATGAGAATGCAAAAAATATGGAAATAAATATGTATAAAACAATGTATATGTATAAACAAAATCTTAACAATCAATACAAACAAATGGTTGCTAACAGGAACCGTTTGTTTGTATCAAAAATTAGCATGACAACCATGTATACAATAACATGGGAGAATTATCGCTGTAATTCTCTCTAGTTAAACAAATGGAAAAGAGAATTTTCGCTGTAATTCTGAAAATCGTCACTTGTCTTATGGGATTTCTAACACATGAGTGGAATAATCTATAAAATAATGCTCTTCTTTAGACTATAATTAAATTTGAAATATTTATTTGAATATACGGTGTTGCCAAGTTTCGCAAAATGTTACGCTTTTCAATTTTTTTGAATGGGACCTCCTGTAAATTTTCGAGTTTTTGGAAAGCCCATCAAAAGGCAAATTTAACGATATACTGGACTACTGGACATGGATCTGTGATGCACCGTTTCGGCCTGATTGGCGTTTATCTTTAGTTCTAGCACAATATCCAATGTCATCCCTGTTGAATGAAAAAAAATTCTAATTTTGCAGTAGATTAGCTGAAGTAGTGCTTTTTCTGCATTAATAGTGGCATTATGGAAAAATTTTTCATACATTAATAAAGCACGTTAATCAGTGGCGTAGCCAGTAGGGGGGCAGGGGGGCGACGGCCCCCCCCGCCCCCACACGTATGGCGCCCCTACCGCTCTTGAAAAACAAAAGCCAAAAATAAGAAATTATAAAATTATGCTGTTTCTTATTTATTTTATTTCCTACTGAACTATTATAACCATATAATATCTTAGTTACGATAATCATAAACAGGGTCTTAACACCCAAGGGAGTTAAGGATTTCATAACTGCCGCGCGGGAGTTAAGGATATCATAACTCCCAAGGGAGTTAAGGATTTCCATGACTACCGCTTTTACCTTGAATAGGTGAAACTTTGACAAAAAATAGAAATTTTGGTTTATAGTTTATTTCTTTATAAAAATGGACAAAATACAGTAAATTCAGTAGGAAATAAAATTATCTATGTACCACGGGAATTATCAGGTGTTAATACCCACAGGCAATTGGTGTCCCTCGGGCCGAAGGCCCTCGGGACACAAACTTTGCCCTGGGGTATTAACACCCTCATAATTCCCTTGATACCTAAATAACTATTATTGACCTCTTCACTCTTTCAACGGCATGTCCACACCAGGGCTGTAGCGCCCGTAGCCAGGGGGCGCATTGGGGAGCAATCCCACAATTCAAATGATGATGCCCTACCTTTGAAACACAACATCCGTTCAGTTTTCTCTAGGAAATTTAAGAGGAGATAATGAATAGGCCTGAAAGTTGTTAGGTGCAGGTATTAAAAGTAGTACAAGAGGTTCCTCAAAAATTGTTGCCTATGGGCGGCATTTTGTTTACCTACCAGAGATGTTATTTATTGAAAAATTTTCCTTCGGCGCCATTACCCCTATTTTGTTTACCTATAAAAAATTTAAGACGGGGGGAGGCAAGTAGTGTACCTATGTCCTATATGAAATTTGTCATGCCCTATCACACATTTGACTCTAGCTACAGGCCTACTCCGCACATTATTTCTTGTAAGGCTTAAAATTAGTTAAAATACATAAATGTAATAACCTGGTACCCGAAAAAAAAAATGTTTTTGAAGGTTTCAATAAAAAAAATTGAGCGTGGCACTCGAGAAAATTTTTCGCCTCCGGCGGCGCCCTTTGCGGGCGTTTCGTCGTCGATATCTTCCCCCAATAAGCAAATATCACGAAAGCATACAATTACAAACATTTATTTGTTATCCTCCACCCCCCCCCCCCCTCGTTAAGAATTATGCGCCCCTTTTATGTTGCCCCCTCCGCCCCGCAACATCTTGAAGAACAAAGACCTGACATCCTTGTTCTCACTGAAACTAAAATCAGTTCTGCAACACCTATTGTGAACTATCTTTATCCCGGCTATGACCTACACCACCGATTTCGACATAATTTTGGGATCTGTGTGTACATTAAAAATGACCTTTCATGTCATCGAGAGGAGAAGCTAGAACCAGCGAACCTTGATATCATATGGCTAAAATTCACCTCAAAGTCATCGACCAAGTTTATCTGCTGCCTCTACCGACCGCCAAGTAACACCGATTACCAAAACTTTTTAGCGACATTATCCGAAAGCTGTGATAGTATACAGTCAAACTATCCACAGGCGGAAATTGTCTTTTTAGGCGATTTCAACGTCCACAATATACCCTGGCTGAAACACCACAACAAAACAGATAACGAAGGCAGAGAAGCAGAAGCTTTTGCCATAAGTTGTGGTCTAACGCAGCTTGTCGATGAACCTACCCGTATCTCAGAAAGGGGCGAATTTGCAGCGCTTTTAGACTTGTTCCTAACCACCAATCCTGACTCGTACACAATTCAAGTAGATGCTCCACTTGGTTCGTCCGATCATAAACTTATAATAACAAAGTGCGAAATGCTCATCCCACCAAGCCTACAACCACTTCCTCGTAAAATGTGGCACTATAAATCGGCAAAATGGAATGACCTAAAACAGTATTACCTGGATTTTCCATGGCAAGAGGTTTGCTTTAAAACAGCTGATCCCACTATTTGCTGTAATGAAATAACACAAGTAATCTTATCTGGAATGGACGCATATATCCCATATACAACTAATCGTAGAGCTAATGCAAAACCTTGGTTCAACAGCCAGTGTCAAACGGCTGTACAGAAAAAACACAGAGCATATAACCTTTGGAAACGACAACAAACCGCTCAAAACCACACAGAATTTATAGAAGCCAGAAATAGTTGCAAAATTACTATTGACTCCGCTAAAGAAACATACAATCAAAGAATAAAAAACAGGTTGCTGAATTGTCCAAGTAGTTCTAGGTCTTTTTGGTCTCTTGCAAAAGCTGTTGGATCTAACTTCACCAAGTCATCCATACCACCACTTACAGATAAAAATAATAACTTAGCCACAACATCAGAGGAAAAAGCCAATATGCTTGCCCAAATATTTTCCTCCAACTCCAACCTAACAATGCCAAACGGAAAAACTCCACCGTTCATTGAAAGGGTTTCCCATAGTATGCCAGAGGTACCCTTTTGTCACAGAGAAATACGAAAATCCCTAAAAAAGCTGGATACAAACAAAGCAATGGGTCCGGATGGCATTCCCGCAATAGTACTCAAAAATTGCGCCAACGAACTCACCCCAACTTTCGCAAAATTATTCAATTTGTCTTACAGGCAAGGAGTATATCCATCATCATGGAAGTCTGCCGCAGTACAACCCATTCCAAAGAAAGGAAAAAAGACAGATCCGTTAAACTATAGACCAATTGCTCTACTTCCGGTGATATCAAAAGTAATGGAAAGAGTTGTGAACAATCACCTAACCAAGTACTTGGAAAAGTACAAAATTATCAACGATAAGCAATACGGATTTCGAAAATATAGGTCAACTGGCGATTTACTTACATACGTCACTCACTTATGGCAAAAAGCGATTGAGTTGCGGGGTGAAACAAGAACAATTGCCTTAGATATATCTAAAGCATTCGACAAAGTTTGGCATGAAAATCTGCTCAACAAGCTCAAAGCAATGGGATTATCGCCGAAACTTTGCACTTGGTTTGAAAGTTACCTAAAGGACAGATCCATTTATGTTGCACTGGATGGCCAGAACTCCAACTCTTACCAAATAAATGCTGGTGTGCCACAGGGAGCAATCCTTTCGCCAACTCTTTTCCTGATTTACATAAATGACCTCATAGATAAAACAGTAAATCCACTTTATTGCTTTGCAGACGATGGCAATGTGGTCTCCTCACTCATACCACCCACAGGTCTTTCCGCACGTGAATTCCATCATCTTAGACTAACTCAAATATCGCAGATAAATAACGACCTGGAGATAATAGAGGACTGGGGTAACAAAAACCTTGTACAGTTCAACGCGCAGAAAACCCAAGCAGCTCTGTTTTCAAAAAAGACCAGCACCGGTGAGCCAAACATCATGCTATCTGGAAGTGCTGTCACATTACAGAGTCAGTTGAACATCTTGGGGGTTACTGCAGAGACCAACATGTCTTGGCACAGTCACGTGGCAGATATTGCTAAAAGGGCCTCCCAAAAGCTGGGGGTGCTATTTCGTACAAGACATCTGTACACACCAAGCTAATTGCTGACACTCTACAAAGCCCAGATTCGACCAACTATGGAGTACTGCTCACATATATGGAGTGCAGCACCCAAACATACCTTAATGCT